ACAGTATTGCGTTCATGTATGTGACGTCACTGAAGGCCTAAGGTTGAAATGCACGGCCCGCCACTGCCTATACATCATATCTTTGTTTTTTCGTAGTTACTTGTTATTACAATACTAGTGGAGCCTATTCTACCAGAGATAAATTCCTTGTGTGTAGGCATTATTTTTGCCAGGACAAAGCAGACGTGAACCTAAACCAAACCATGTGCTAAATGTTACATTTGGCACAAATATCAGGAAACAAATATGGCTTTGGCAGAGATACGTAGAGTAGATAATGGTCACACAACACATACTACATGACCTCTGCATATACAGATGTCTGTTATTAACCAAATCGGATTTCGACCAGAAAAATTCAAGATTTTTACGCCTCGGATTATGACCGAAACATATATATATATATATATATAAAACACTTATTGCTCATGATATTTAAAAAATGACATCGGTGAAATTGCACAAACTGGTTGAAAACCAACAAAAATAGTTGCCGAGTGTTTGTCAATGTGTCGTCCGTCAGCTCGCCCCTTCTGGGGGACACCCTGAACAGGTTGCCAGCCAATCGCAGAACACACAGAGACAAACAACCATCCACGCTCACACTCACACCAAGAGACAATTTAGAGTGTTCCATTAACATGCCATGGATGTTTTTGGAATGTGGGAGGAAACCAGAGTACCCGGAGAAAACCCACACAGGAAGGCCGGTGCCAGGATCAAACCCACAACCTCTGCACTGTGAGATCAAGGCGCTAACCACTGGACTGCCCACAAGGTGACATTGAAATTTGAATCAGGATTTAATGACACAAACATTTAAATAATTAAAATAGTCAGTCCCGGGCTTTGCAGTTAGTTGATTATCAATGTATCTTTGATCTTCCTCAAGGGATTAATTATGAAAATTAAAACCAGAGTCTTCTCCAGCACGCCCGTGACCCTCATGAGGATAAGCAGCTCGGATAATGGATGGATGGAAAACCAGTGTCATTTTGATCCAGTTTTCTTCTCTCAAGGGTCCTGTCAGCAGTTGACATGCTGACATTTTTTGGAATAAATTAAAACAGCATTAAAACAAAATATTGTACAAAGATGGAGAATATTTTTCCCATGAAGACCACAAATATATTGTACAGTATTCAAACATGTTTCAGGTACAGTATATGGAATTCCTTTACCGGGGTCATTGAATCACACTGGTTTCATCGAGAGCCCGTCACTGCTGAAAGCAGCAACTTGCAAGACTGATTCTTAAGTTTAGGAATAATAAAGGATGTTTGTGTTCTTTCCAATTATTCATATTGGTCCAGGAAAATATACAGGATTATTTTTGTTTGGATTACAAAAGCATCACTGTTCACGCTCGCACGGAGATATAATAATCCTTCTGCAGTCCCTGCCAAAACACAACCTCAGGCGTGTGACCACAGGGTTTGGTAATTCAAAATGACATGCAAGCCACTTCTTATTTATTTTGAAAGGGATAAGATTGGGTGTGATTGCCTGATAATTGTATTGCATCGGTCCATAGTTAATCCCATTTGTAATGATGTTAGTTTGGGGTGCCCTTGGTGTCTTGTTCACTCCCGAAAACAGCCAGCTGTTAAAAAGTGGCTGTGGTTGGTTGAGATGAAAAAAATGAAACAGGATTATTGTGACTAAAATTAGCATTGTTAGCATTTTCATCACAATAGTGTTTGCCTTGCAAATGATTCGCACACACACACACACACACACACACACACATTTATATATATATATATATATATATATATATATATATAGAGAGAGAGAGAGAGAGAGAGAGAGAGAGAGAGAGAGAGAGAGAGAGATAGATAGATTGATATATACACACACACACACACACACATTGACATTTTGAGTTCAATGTTTTTATTTATTTTGTTATGTATGTATGTATGGGCGCCCGGTGGGCGTCTGGTTAACACATCGGCCTCACAGTGCAGAGGTCCAGGCTTCAATTCTGGCTCTGGCCTCCCTGTGTGTAGTTTGCATGTTTTCCCAGGGCCTGCGTTCTCCGGTTTTCTCCCACATTCCAAAAAACATGCATGGCGGGCTGACTGAACACTCAAAATTGTCCCTAGGTGCGGTTGTGAGCACGGATGGTTGTTCGTCTCTGTGTGCCTTGCGATCGGCTGGCAACCGGTTCAGGGAGTCCCACGCCTACTGCCCGAAGACAGCTGGGATGGGCTCCATCACCCCCCACGACCTTTGTGAGGATAAGCGGATCGGAAAATGAATGAATGAATTCAATGCATAACATATTAGGCTACTGTAGCAACTTACTCCATTGGTGGGCTTCTGTATTAACAGTGTGCAAAAACCCACTCAGTTCATGCGCGCGCCGCGACGGCTATCCATGACTGACATGGTAAAAGGGCAATGTAACGTGTGACTGACTTCATGAATTTGATATGTGTGGCTTCATCCGGAGTAATTAATGATCTTATCTTAGAAGCATGTGTAAGAGCTGAGAGAAAGTCATCTCTATATTCATATATGTCACTTTGACGACAACATTTTCATCAAACGGGTACATTCATGTGATGTTACGTGTGTAATCTACTGTTGTATTACAGACACTGTATTGGACAACAAGGAAGACACAAAGAACAACAATGCCATAATGCATCGCAAATATTTGCAAGGGGTCGACCAGAAAGAGCAAACAAGGTGCACTCCGGCATATTTTTCTACCATTTTTACAAAAAGTCTATAAGGCAGGTTTTGTAGAGCACCGGTGAGCGCATGGTAAGGCAGGCATCCATGTGTGCAGTGAACATTTCCGGGACAAGGAGTAATTTACAGTTGGAGATGAGACACATAACGCACCTGACATTAAAAACAGAGGCCATGCCGAATATTTTTTAACAAGAAAGAAGTGGGAGATGAGCTTCTGCTTTCTCGCAAACCTTGGCCACGGGGCAAACGGCGACGTTGTAGTTGTTATGTTCATAGTGCAAGTGGAGTCCACGCTCGTAAATGAAGTTGTTGAGGCACCGGACCAAAGCAGCACTCTGACCTTCATGCACCTAAGGTAGGATAACGTAATAATGACAGCATTGTCCATGCGTGTGAAGTGAGCCAACCGACATGGCAGACGTATTGCTGTCTGCTCCACTTTCTGGTCCCGCTCATTCTCCAAAGTGTATTTTGTGCCATGACCACGATCTCACTGGGTAGACTTATTTCATAGAATTGACTGGAAACGACATGGCTTCATTCTTTCAGGATTAACGTTACTGAATAGATGTATTCCATTCGTGAAATTGTGTTTGTATATCATTGTACAGTCTGTAGGTCAAAGTTGACACACATGAGACCAGTTATCTGTCTCTAGTGACGTGTTTAATGACCATGTTGACCAGCTATATATTTTTTTAAATGGCTTTTAAAGTTATTAAATGTCCATGAAAAATGATGAAGTTAACAAATTAATTATAGACATAATATTAACATTTTACCGCTGCAAATGACATAAATATGTGAAGTATCCCTTTAAGTTTGAAATATTTCTGAATATTCAAAAGGAGCAAAACTAAGATTAGCTTCCACATTACGTTTGTATCAAGGCCAGTGAACCTACTAACAATTTGTGTTTTCAAAATTGTGCGTTTTAGCTTATTATGTCAAATAATCACATTAGGTTAAATGACAACAGGCATTTTTTTCCCCCGCCGATGTGACTCGGGATTCGGGAGGAAGGTAAAATGGAGTTCACACATCACCCAATGAAATATGGGTTGACTTACCGAAGCGCAGGGAAGCGAAAGGCTGGCAGGTCGCTCGATAGGCTGAGGCTGCTGCTTCCCGGGCACGTTCATCTCCCAGAGCCGCTTCTCCTGCTCACTTCAGCGGACTTTATCAAGTCACGTCTGCCGCGGCCGACCGGCAGCATCAATGAGCGGCGCCCTCTTTCACCACATTGTCCCAAACTGAAATCACATCCAAACTCGACCGTGATCCTCCGTTCGTCACGATCCGTAAAGTCACTGTTGGATTCAGCGGCCGCTGCTCGCTGACTGCCGGCGAAAATTGGCAACGAGTGACTGTCCGCTTTCTTTCTCTGCACGTTGCGTCACATTAACTCGTTCATTGACACCGAGTACTGTACGTTTCTTTAGTGTCAAATTTAAATGTACCCTTTTAATTATTATTTTTAATTTATGAACGAGTTCATCCCCATCCCAAGTTGGCGTATACTCAATGAGGACATTTGAGACAATATACAGCAGTTTTCCTCAACATTTTCACCAAGGAGTGTAGTAGGTGTTTTGAGTGCTCATAAAATAAAAACGAGCCGTATTTTATTTTTCCTAAAAACGTATATTTCATAATAATACAATTGATTATGAAATGAAAATTCTCTTATTTCGTTTTCCTTAGTTGAAACATTTCCTTCTCAGGTACTGTCTTCTTTTTAACTCAAATTAAACATAAAAATAAATACGTTGCCTGGAAAATAAATCATGAAAATGTAAATAAATAGATATCAAAATTAAGAAAAAAAAACGACCTGTTATATATTAATCTTGCAAGATTTACCATTAAAAAAATGGCACTCCTTTGAATAAGTCCCCCTTCAAACAGGTATTTTAACTTTAATTCTCCAGAACAAAACACTGAACAACAATTCTATTCAGACCAGCGATAGCAGTTTTACTTACTTGTTTATCAGTCATCTGAGCTTTAATGAGACACTTGAATTTAATGCACGGATGTTGGGATTTTGGAGGGGCTGTGCCACAGGTTCTTGATCTGTGAAATTATTAACTCCTCAAAATGTCACAATTATATCAAATATTTGCAACCCAAATACATCTGGACCATCAATATATATTTTTTAAAATCTATTGAAAATGAATGGTTCAGGCAGGCATTGGACAAGCTAAGTTGTGCTGCATGCCCCAAAAAATTTATTCCCCGTGCATTTTTCATTTTGTGCTGTTTTTCGACATCTCATACATTGGGACCCCATGAGACTTTTTGATATATAAATTACGGGTAAGCAATTCTTTCTACTCAACATTTGGCCATTAAAAAACACACTCAGCAGAAAGTGTGCTACTCTAACTTCATAAACTAGTGGGGAGGGAAATACTTGCTGCTGCATGTAATCATTAGCGATGAGACCCAGGGTGTTATGACTGAAACCATATGAAGAGTTCAAGAATAACGGTTTATTCAATTATTGTTTAAGTTACTGAAATGAGGGGTTTGGTTACAAGAGAACGCTGACAATATCTCTCTTATTTATTCATCCATCCATCCATTTTCTGATCCGCTTTATCCTCACAAGGGTCGCGGGGAAATTTTTAAAGCATAGGTGTCAAACTCCGGTCCTGGAGGGCTGCTGTCCTGCATGTTTTCCAAGTCTCCCTGTTGCAACACACCTGATTCAAATGATCAGATCATCAGCAAGCTCTGCGGAAGCCTGACATTGAACCTGTTCATTTGAATCAGGTGTGTTGCAACAGGGAGACTTGGAAAACATGCAGGACAGCGACCCTCCAGGCTCTGAGTTTGACACCTATGATTTAGGGTGTTCAATCAGCCTGCCATTCATGTTTTTGGAACGTGGGACGAAACCGGAGTACCCGGAGAAAACCCACGCAGGCACTGGGAGAACATGCAAACTCCACACAGGGAGGCCTCTTATTTATTACACATGAGAATTTGAAATTTTGATACAGATTTTAGCAAGCAGGCGGCTCGGTGCTCCAATGGCTAGCGCGTCGACCTCACAGTGCAGAGGTACCAGGTTCGATTGCAGCTGCGGCCTTCCTGTGTGGAGTTGGCATGTTCTCCCCGGGCCTCTGTGGGTTTTCTCCAGGTACTTGATTTCCTCCCACATTCCAAAAACATCCATGACAGGCTGATTGAACACTCCAAATTGCCCCAAGGTGTGAGTGTGAGCGCGGATGGTTGGTCGTCTCTGTGTGCCCTGCGATTGGCTGGCAACCGGTTCAGGGTGTCCCCCACCTACTGCCCAAAGACAGCTGGGATAAACTCCAGCATGCCCCTGTGACCCTTGTGAGGATAAAGTGGTTCAGAACATGGATGGATGGATTTTCGCAAGCATCATGGAAGTTAACATGTTTAATTTACTTTCGCAGGCCTTGAGTTTGACACCTATGGATTAGATTAACCAATGTGGCCATGAGCTGTATAAAAGCCTGCCAATGCTAGTATGGTAAAGTGTTTTTAAAGTTTGAGACCTGGCAAGAATGTTAGACAAAGTAAATAAAGAATGCTGAGGCATAAGAGAACTGAAGCTACCTGAAGTACTCTATATTGGATCAGAAAAAAATTCGAAAGTCAAGAGCACTCTGAAAGGTTTACAATGCCATCTTCATTTTGGGGCTGGAAAAGAAGTGAAATAAATGTTCTGACAGAGATAACTGCTGCACTGGCAGTTCTAGAAAGTTTTATTTGGAGTGGGAAGAGTGTCAGGTAGGCAGACAGAGGTTATAATGCTACACACACACACACACACACACACACACACACACACACACACACACACACACACACATTCTCTTGTGGAAAAACATGTTCATTTTTTTATGTTAATGAGGTGTCCACGCCTCGGACACCCCATTCGCGCATTTATTTCTTTTCTAATGACAAAAACAGACAAATGTTTTTCACAGGACAGCGATGACATAAAAACACACACACATATCCACGAGCTTCTGTTCAGGTTTAATTTTCTGCATTCCTTGGTATGTCTAATGCATGTCATGTGAATAACAATGTTGATCACGAACTCTGTCACGGTCTTTGTGTGTGTTTTGTTTTCAGTTACAGCTGGAGTGGAGGGCGTTCCCTCCAGCGACGCAGCTGTCACGTATTGTAATCAATGTCAGTGACTACTTTGGGACTGCCATGCCGACAACCCTATGTCAGATTATTCGCCTAGCTCACGACTCTCGTACCAAGTGCAATTTACCAGACGTTCATGATCTTGTTCTCCGCTCTTCAAGTCATAAATTGTTCTTGTTGTCAGTAGTAGTTAAGTTTCTTTTCAGAGTGTTGTTTTTGTATTTTCTCCAAATTGAATTCTTGCCATTTGCAAGCACTTTTATGTTAGTCACGGCTCTGTGGACCAGCGATCTCATTTGTACTTTGTCGGTCTTGCACCTTTTTTTTTTTTTTTTTTGTAAAAGTAATGTTTTCCTTGTCTATATTTTTAGAATTCGGATTATTCCAGAATTGTAACAAATTCATTTCATGCAGTCACTTAGGGCTGCCCAAAATGATTATTTTGCGAGTGAACTAGTCACCAATAGCAATTGCAATTAGTTGACCAGTTGTATATGTAAGTCACAGCACTAGCAAGCAGCAGCTCTCACATCATTATTCCTTACCGCTTGAATTCTCGAAGGTATATAAAAAATTATGTCGCCGAAGGTGTAGTGGCACACTCGCCTGACTTGCGTGCAGGCAGCACCTCAGTGACGATGTGGATGGTTGTTCATTTCGATGTGTGCCCTGCGACTGGCTGGCATCCGGTTCAGGGTGTAGACTAACTTTCGCTGGGACAGTCACCTGGGATAGGCTCGCACGACCATGTACAGGATAAGCGTAAAATGACATGTCTTGGATGGTTATACAAACTAAAAATAAAGAAAATTAAGATGATGGTACATTCAACTTTGATTAAACTTTGGGCCTGCATGTAAACAGGTAAAATGGAGCCAAAACAATTACTGTGTGCACTTGCACGATGAATACAGTACTGTAAAAGTATCTACCAAGCATAAATACAAAAATAAATAAATAATAAAATAAATACCTGGAAACATATTTCATTCTTCTCAGGACAAGTGAAAGTCAAGACGGTGAAGACATCCATCCATCCATCCATCCATTTCTCGATCCGCTGGAGCCTATCCCAGCCGTCTTCCAGCAGTAGGCGGGGGACACCCTGAACCGGGTGCCAGCCAATCGCAGGGCACACAGAGACGAACAACCATCCGCATGTCTTTCCTTTGTTTTGCTCTAAAGAAGCACAAAAACATTAGGAAAATGTTGAAATTGAATGAACATATCTTTTACAAAACATTTCATGAAGCACTTTAGGTTTCCTTTGACAAATGTGTAATTTACTTTTATCACATTCACATATTTGCATTATATGCATTGCAACTGATCGAACTGATTGTACAAACGCACAAAACTTTAACAAGTAATTGGTTTTGAAAAATATAGTAATGCACTTTAACATTAAACGAGATTTATAAAGAAAGGAATTTTAAAATTATTTACACATGTGCACATAAAATTAAAATTTAATCCCTGCCTACAGCTTACAAACTAAGGAGAGTGCTATTAAATGTCTAAAAAAATAAAGTATTCACATGTCCTTGATCGCGTCTGCTGTGTTGGGTCTGTCTCAGTGACAGACTGAGACAGCTGTTGTCTTCTTCTCTGATGAACACAATGTTGTCTTCTACTCTGATCAAAACAGTCTGTCCCCTAGCGGATACTCCATGAATTGCACCTTATTAAAAATATTCATTCCATGTCTATGCATTTTTTTTTCGCTTGATCCTGCGGGCCTGATCGAACCTCCTTGGGGGCCGTTTCCGGACCGCACTTTTTACACCCCTGATTTAAAGTGTTCAATCAGCCTGCCATGCATGTTTTTGGAATGTGGGAGGAAACTGGAATACCCGAAGAAAACCCACGCAGGCCTGGGGAGAACATGCAAACTCCACACAGGGAAGCCGGAGCTGGGATTTAACCAACGCCCTCTGCACTGTGAGGTCGATGAGCTAACTACTGGATTACCGCCAGTGAAGACAGATGAGTAAAATCAGGAAAAAGCAGTGTGCTAAAGAAAACTAAAACACTTTTATTGTTTCTTTGTATGTGTCCTTCATTGATTCAAAACATTTTGCTTTGCCTCAACAGTTTGGCACATTTTTCGGATGAATAAACTCACAGAAAGGATGATTACAGAACCCGAGCCAGCAATCTTTCAATGAGGCGGTGGAGAGATGCGCAAGTCTTCACCCTCCAACTGGTCTGATGGATGCATGTTGTAGTTAGAATGCATCGCAATCACATTGGCTTTGAGCAC